TTATGTATGTAAATATATGTATATAAAATAAAAAATAACTTAAAAACAGAAGCCTTAAAACACAGGCTGAGATTAGGCTTGAGATCTCCTAGCTACTTCCTTTCAGTCCACTGCTTGAGCTTGCTCTTCTGTATTACGCATAAGACAGCTACAAGCAGCTTTGTGTTTTGGTGCATTTCTGCTATATATATATATGTCTATTGTGTACTTGCTAAGTCAGAGGATAATATTATGTTCAGCTTTAATAGATATTTCCAGAAAGTTGCTCCAATCCACTGTCAGTTTACCCACCTATAAGGAGAGTATGAGAGTTCTCATAAGATTTTGTTTCATGAATTAACTAATTTAGCTATTCTAACGCAGAAATGAATTTCGCTGATGAATGATGTGGAGCATCTGTTTATTAGCCATCTGAATATCTTCTTTTATAACAGAGTTTGTAGAAGAAAACAGAATGTTTTCATCACTTTGGAATAGGCAAAGATGTTTCAAAAGGAACTCACTTAAGTGTGGTGGTACATACATGTAATCCCAACACTTGCGAAGTACAGACAAAGAAGACAAGAGTTGAGAGCCAACCAAAGCTACAAGAGATGCTATCTCAAAAACAAATCAAAACTGGGCTGGAGAGATGACTCAGCAGTTAAGAGCACTGGCTGCTCTTGCAGAGGACCTGGGTTCAGTTCCCAGCACCCACATGACAGTTTAGCAACCAACCATAACTCCAGTTCCAGGGGCTCCAATGCCCTCTTCACAGGCATTGCCTGACACAGGTGCACGCACATACATGCAGGCAATAAATTCACACACATAAAATAAAAATAATAAATAAAATATTTTAGAAAACAAACCAAAATAACAATAGAGGTAGAAACACACGCACACAAACTGTTCATAAAGGGAAAAGTGACAACAGACTGAGGTAGAGAGACGGCTCAGTGGTTAAGAATATGCACTGCTCTTGTAGAGGACCCAAGTTCAGTTCCCAGAACCTAAGCCAGACAGCTCACAACCACCTGTAACTCTAGTTCCAGGGAATCCAACATCTTTTTTCAGACTCTGCAGGCATCTGTACTCATGTATACATTCCCACACATAACACACACACATACATAATTTTAAAACTAGTAACAGTAAGTCTAAAAATATTTTTAAATATTCTGTTTATCAAAGAAGAGCATCAAAAGAATGAGAAAGCAAATCAGAATTCTTTAAGATCCCTTTAGACATCAGTAGGAAAAACAAGTTGGGCATGATGGTGCACGCCTTTAATCCTAGCACTTGCAAGGCAGAAGCAGGAGATTGTGGTCAACTTGGTCTACATAATGACTTCCAGCCCAGCTGTGACTACAGCGGGAGAACCTGTCTCAAAAAGACCAAGAAAGAAATAAAAACAAAAACAAACAAAAAACCAGAAATAGTACAAAAATAGGCAAAAAATGAGAATTAAACGTTCTTTATTAGTGTTTGCATTCTGACACATGATAAACATGTCTTTGCTGCTCACCTTTCTAGACAGGGTCTTGCTATGTTGCCCAGTCTAGTCTTGAACTCTGAGCTTCTCAGTCCTCTGGGATTTCAGGCATGTATCACCAGCACTAAAACTATTTTTTTGTCCTTTTTTTTTTTTTTTGGTCTTTTTGAAACAGGGTCTCCCTGTAGCCCCAGCTGACCTGGAGCTCACTATGTAAACCAGGCTGGCCTAGAACTCACAGAATTCCACTTGCCTCTGCCTCCCAAGTGCTGGGATCAAAAGCGTGCACCACCACACCCAGATAGAACTTTTAAAATATTTTTATTACACTTGGGATTTTTTGTCTAAGTCTCTCATAAGGATAGTTCACTCAAAGCAAGGCATTGTTTTTCACCTTTGCATGGCTTTTTGACATAAATAAAATTGCAAATTGAATATAAATAATTTTTTGAACCTTAGAAAATCCTGTTTTGATTTTGCAAATTACCGTCACAGTAATGACTTCATCTAGTCTAGCTCCGAACCCAGTGAACCCTTATGTGATAAATGATGATGAGTGAATTCCCTGTTCTCAGAACTTCCAAATGTTCCAACAAAAACATGAAAGGAATAACTGCTACCTCTGCCTTAGGGCTCAGTGGATGCTCCAGTCACACACAGAGGCCCCACCTCCACACCCTTCAGCAAAGTTCACAATCCCATCTTTCTTCATCTCTCCTGGCACCACCTCAGAAAGT